GTTAACTTGAATAATTTCAGTAATTTGAAAAGCTAGGTCAATCTTGTGCTATTTTGGATCGAAAGTCAAAGTGAAATTTTTTCATCACCACAAGGATATCATCTGCTGGATTGATCTTGATATAAGATTCAATGAATACTAAAGCACACATACTGATATACAACTAACATCGTTGATAAATATGCATACATATGCATGTATTATTAATCTATATATGCTATGATTTGTTAGACCAAGACGTGCAACCTCATTAATCATAAGTTACAATTATTAGACAAACGTGCGTGCATGTCTCTTAGCCAAACATATACAAAACCTTACAACAAGATAGATTCCAAAAAACAACCAAACAAGAAAATGCCTGTCTCTGTCTCAAAGAGACGACCAAGAACGTCCAAAAAGACCGAAACCGAAAAACCCGAGAAATCACTTAAAGATCCTCGTACATGTTGTAATAACATATGTTCGATCTTCTCTAGATCAATTCTCTATCGTGCACCTCTCACCTTTCTCTTGCTCTTCCTCGTTTATCTCTGGTCAACTTCCACGACCGTTATCTCCAATAACGTCGTCCATATTTGCATCTCTTCGCGGAAGCTCAACGATCTTTATTGTCTCACTGCCGGTTCTCAGCCGGGTTTACGTGTACCGGTCAACAATTTCACTAAACCGGTTAGTGAAAATTTGATAAGAAATGAAGAAGAGAAGAGTGTTGTTATTCTTGGTGAAGATGGAGACAAGGCTTTTGCAAAGAATGGAACTACCCCCGGAGAAGGAGATTCGGATAAATCTACGGTCAGAACAAGCATCAACATCATAAAGAATGAAACTATAAGGGGAGACACAACCGGAGTTAGAGTTTCTGTTCTTGATCAAGATTCTAAACCCAAGAAGGAGACCAATCCCGCTCTCCTCTTTGATTGGGATTTAGAAACCGGAGAAGAAGGATACCGATACATCAAACCGAAGGACGAAAATGAGGAGACCGCTCTAAGGACTTTGCATGAGTATCTTCAAATACAAAGATCCTGGCTATCCGTGGGTAACAACCGCGGAAATCCTGGATCTTGTGAAGGAAAAGGGGTTTATGTTTATGATTTACCTTCCAAATTCAACAAAGATTTGTTGGGAGAGTGCTCGGATATGGTTCCATGGGCCAATTTTTGCAGTTTCTTCAAAAACGATGCGTTTGGTGAATCTATTGAGAATCTTGGTAAAGGGTGGTTTAGAACGCATCAGTATTCTCTTGAGCCGATCTTTCATTCTCGTGTTTTGAAGCATCCATGCAGGGTTTATGACGAGAACCAAGCCAAGCTCTTTTATGTGCCTTTCTATGGCGGTATTGATGTTTTGAGATGGCATTTCAAGAACGTTTCTGAGGATGTGAAGGATGTTTTGGCGATCGAGGTTGTTAAATGGCTCGGATCGAAAAAATCTTGGAGGAAAAACTCTGGGAAAGATCATGTTTTTGTTCTTGGCAAAATCTCTTGGGATTTTAGGAGGAACACCAAATTTTCTTGGGGCTCAAGTTTACTTGAGATGCAAGAAATGAAGAACCCTACAAAGCTTCTCATCGAACGTAATCCATGGGAGATCAACGACGTCGCAATTCCTCATCCAACGTTTTTCCACCCGAAAACCGACGACGATATCTCTAGCTGGCAAAACAAGATCATAGTAAAACCTCGCCGGAGCCTAGTCAGCTTCGCTGGTGGAGCAAGACCCGGTAATCCTGATAGCATCCGGTCAACATTGATTGACCAATGTACATCATCTCCAAACCAATGCCGGTTTTTGAATTGTACCGGGGGAGGCTGTGATAAGGCGGAATCGGTTATCGAGCTTTTCCAAGATTCGGAATTCTGTCTCCAGCCTCCTGGAGACAGTCCTACAAGGAAATCGGTTTTCGATTCCCTCGTATCCGGTTGTATTCCGGTTATCTTTGATCCGTACACGGCATATTATCAGTACACGTGGCATTTACCGGAGGACCACCGGACATACTCGGTGTATATAAACAAAGAGGATTTGAAGGCAAAGAAAGTGAATGTGATTGAGAAGTTGATGTCAAAGACTCTACGGGAAAGAGAAGATATGAGAAGTTACATTGTTCACGAGCTTTTGCCTGGTTTGGTCTATGGAGATTCTAATGCTAAGTTTGAAAGGTTTCGAGATGCTTTTGATATTACTATGGATAGTTTACTTCATAAGATTTCGAAAGTTTTGTAAGTTTATTTATATGAATTTCATTATCAATTTCAAATGTAGTACTCAGAGCATTTTCACTTTGATGTCATTTCTATTTATTGCATTCGAACTAGTGTGCAATTTTGTGTGGATATGTATATGTAGACATATGCATACCAAATTTGTTATGTGGTTCTAGTTACCAAGACAATATCACGCCTATTCCATATTCGTGTACTGAATTGTAAATTTGATGGTACAAATGTAGCAACACAATGTGGGCGGGAATTGAATTTGTAGGTGGGATATGGTAGATAAAATCGTGAGACTGCATACATTGGTATGATGGAGAGTCATCACAAACTAGGCTGAGTTAAAGTGGTACAAGAGCAAATAAAAACAATTGCAAACCACAACACAATCTGTCACACACATAGTACGGAAAACACAAATGGTTGCACACACAATATAGAATAGTTTATGGAACCTAAAAAATAAAAATAAAATAAAAACTGACAGAGACCATATAGCATAGCACAGAGCGATAGTTGGTAATGCACAAAACTTACCGAGAATGTGTGGTGTCCAATATGCATAGCCTC